TTAAGATCTTTAGAACTGAATCATTCCAAGATGAAATTTCTTTCTTTGCAAATAGACTGAAAAGAAAATCAAATTTAAACTCTAGTTTTGCCTGCGGGGTGTGTGTGTGTGTGTGTGTGTGTGTGTGTGTGTGTGTGTGTGTAACAGGTGTGTAGAGAGGGGTCAGAGGACAACTTTTGAAGTTTGTTCTGTCTTCCCTCCATATGTGTCTTAGGTATGAAGCTCAAGTCGCCAGGCGTGGCGGCAAGTGCCTTTGCCAGCCATGCCATCTCGCTGGCCCTCCCCTTTATTCTGCTCTTAAATCAGCTGCTCCCACGAGCAAATTGACAAGAGTGCTGCCCAGGTTCTCATTTCATGGTGTGGAGAGCACACAGGAGCATCTTCAGGCAACTTTGCAAGGTGTTTCATATATACTTGAGGTCTTCAAATGGTTGTTTGTGTGAATTCTAGGAATTGTGGCAGGAGATACAGCAAATTCGTTCTAATTTGTCCTCAGTTTTATCCTCTCATGAAAGTTGCTACTAAAGTCACAGCTAAGGGCCAGCTAAGGCCCCCTTGATTTTCTTTGGGCTCGTATCAAGTAATTCAGTATTTATTTTCATTGCTTCAGTTGAAGTGGCCTAAGAAGATCACTGACTAATGACCATCTTTATTTTTAAAAGTCACCGGATAAGGCAATTGCTCAAGCCACTTGAGCAAGGCATTTCAGAAATGTTCACTCTCATATTTCTCTGTATGGTTATAAACAAATACAATTTTTATTTCATCTTAGAGTTATTAATCTGGACTTCTTTTTCTGGAATGCACAATAGAAAAATGTCTTATAGCTCTTTGAACATTAGATTAGAAAGAAAACGCTTCAAACATTTTGCTTAATTAAATGCTAGAGAGGTGGTACCAACTTTCATGATTAATTGAAACTTGACTGATAAATATTTATATGTGGCACATGAAAATTTTATCATACTATACAAACTGTTCACTTTGGGAATGTTATTTAACACTCTAAATATTTTGCCTTTGTTGCTGAATTGTTCATTATGAAAAAATATGGGCTAATTGCCATAATACAAGCTGCAATATAAGCCTGTCATATGAGTCTTCAATGATATAACCCCAAGTCTTTAATGGTGTGCACTTTTAACCTATGTAGGAGAAAAATAAAATTTTTATCTAGTTTGAAGACTTAAAAAATAAACAAAGCATAGAAAACAGGTTCACTTAGGAAAAAGCTAAGTTGCCAAACCTTCTATCTTGCCAGATAAGCACACATGCCGTTACCACAGGTCAGTTCCCTTTCGGTTGCTGTGTTGAAATTCTCGGACCAACAGCAAATTGGGAGAGAGTTTGTTTGGTTTATACTTCCAGGTCACAGTCAGTCTCTGGAGGACATCAGCCTGGCAGCTCAAGACAGGAGCAGAAACTACAGGTGATAGCTGCTTGCTGGCTCACTCATGGGTACTGCCCGCAGTGGGCTGCATCCTCCTACATCAATTAATAACCATGATAATTTTACACAGACACGCCCACGGGCCAATCTGATCTAGGTAAATCCTCAGCTGAGGTTTCCTCTTCCCCACGACTCTAGGTTGTGTCAAATTGACAATAAAAAGCACACCAGACTTCAAGGTCTAAAAAAAAAAGATTTAATTGAAACACATTTTGTCTGCAGTTTCTTAGGAAAGGTTTACTTTTTAGGGGTAGTCATTCTCTAAGACATTGCGTCTGGTGACAGAATCTGAGCTTTCTGACTGATGAACCCCTACACTTCTTTTAGTTTCCGAACTGTGGCTGGCATTAATTGGCTGTTATAAGACCGACTGAAATAGCTGCTGTATCTGAAAATATTTTTGTGACCTTTTGGAATAACCCACTTCTCAGACTCATCTTCGGGTCTTTCACTGTTGAGAAGTTGGATGACAGAACAGGCGCTGTCTGCTGGGCCTTTCCCAGAGCATTTGCCTGTAGGAAGCAGAATGGACAGGAACGCTGATTTATTTAACAAGACAGATGCCAGCTACCATCCGACAACTCTTCTCACCGCGGAAACAAAACTACACGAGTCCTTTGTCTTATCTCCCACACTGGAGCTTTCTAGTAAGAATATTTTATGAATCTAGTGTATTTTAGATTTTAATGCTTTTATTTGTTAGGCCCTGTTGGCAGAAAGTGGTGCCCTTGCCACTCTTTAGAACACGACAAGGGGGCCTACCGGGTGGCCTGAGATGCCCTTTGATCCTGCACATGTCTCCTCCTCAGGGCCAGGCCCTGTGGTGGGGCTAAGCGCAGGTCTTCTTGCAGCTCTGCCTTGCCCTTCTAGTCTGTGCTTCAGTCCATCGCAGCTAACAAAGTCAGGACTTTAAAACTCATGTTTTCTTTGTCAAGCCAGACTCTTTCAAAGAAGACATGCTGAGGAGAAATGAATGTTCTGGAATGGCTCCTTGGGAAATCGGGTCCTCGTTCAACTGTGAGACCAAATGATCTCCTTCATGACATTTTTTTTCCCTTACAGATCTCACCAGAACCAAGACCATTGCGAGCTGCACGGTGTCTTCTTTTTCAGGAGCCTACGATTTTAAGGCGTTGTATCAATGGGGACAATAGGAATTATTAGTGCTTGTTAGTGTAATAGTGATGGGCGATCATTTTAAAATGATTACTAATCCAAGGAAACAGTTCACATGCGGTCACTTAGAGAACTTTTGCTAACTTTTCATGCCACACCAAGTATCTATTTGTAGACAGGTGTCTGTATAGAAATTGCGTGAAATAGGAATAAAAGCTTTCTGAACAGAACACATTCATCCAATGCAGTAATTATGTTACATTTGAATCCATATTTTTGACTTTATTTAAAGGATGTTATGTTATCAAGAGTGTTTACTAACATCAAAGATTCTCTTTTATGCTGTCTTGTCTGATAATGAGTCATGGATTCTGAAATGTGATTTGAGAAGTAGCACAAATTATTAAAATAACAATGTTTATTCTTTTATGGTAGACAAAGTGCTGCTCGTGGTTCTGAGTGGACACTTGGGGAGAGAAAGCCATGTCACTGCGTTGCGAATTAGTTTGTTTCTAATTTTGCAGGCTGATGGCCACAGTGCCTCAAACCAAATCTTTCCCCTGGAAATGGAATGATTGCATGACAGACTCTGTGAACCATGAATATGTCAACAACTCATGGATCTGGCCTTGCTTAGCAATTAGTCTTTGCGGGATTTTACTCAGAAATCAGACACGCTGCACCAGAGCTTGTTGGGTAGTTTGTGATTCCCATTCATGGATGAATCATGAATCTGGCTTAGAACAAAACAGATCTGTAAAGAAGGATTGCTGCTAATAGTGGTGGCTAGAGCTACACACACACACACACACACACACACACACACATACACACGCCCACAGACACACGCACACACACATACCTACAGACATGCTCACACACATGCATGCACATGCCCACAGACACGTGCACAGATGCACAGACGCACACATGCACATACACACATACCCACAGACATGTGCACGCACACACACGCCTACAGCCAGACGCATGCACACACATGCCCACAGTCACGTGCACACACACATACATGTATATGCACATACACCATACATACAGACACATACATAGTCAGACACACAAATACACAAGACACTCATCCATGCACACCCAGACACATTCAGACATACATACGTACACACACATGCTTAGACATGCACACAGACACACACACACATATATATACATACACATGCAAACTAACACTCAGAAATGCACACAGACACTCAGACATGCACACACACACACACACACACACACACACAGAGTCAAATGAAAGGATGAAGTGTTCTATTCAAAATGTAGTGAAAGCTCCTAAGAAGCAGCCAGAAAATATTTAAAAATATTTCTAACATCATCTCTTATTTCCCTAAAAGAGACCAATGTTCCCAAGTTTCAGGCATTTGAGTGTCACCAACTCCATCCTACTACAGTTTCTCACTATCCACACTGTGGTTTACTCAGTATATTTAATTTAATTCATTCTCTTTGCTCTCTTTAACAGCCCATCTGTCTTAAGCAATAATGGATGTGACAGTCGTGGTAGCTTATGTTGGTTAAGTTTTCCTTCTCACATAAAGGAAATGCAGTATAGTGTTTTAAATATTAAAAATATTTGTATACCATCTAGAACCCCTCTGAACACCTGTTGACATGGTGGAGAGGTCTTCCAGGAGCTAAGAGGACACTCCCACTCCAGTCTGCCTGAGAATATTCTTATATCCTCATTAGCATCCCTTCTTCCTAGGCCCAGAAACCACATCAAATGCTAAATCAGGCCAGTGTTTCCCTGAGGTCACCAGTGCCTGAAGGCTCACTGTAGGAGATGCCCAGGAAGTCAGGTCTTCCCACTGCCCATTGCCAGGATCTGGCCATCCACAACTTTTCCTTTTTTGATGAAACAGCTGACTCAGGAATCATATTGCACTTAGAAACAACAGCACGGTTCACTTACCTGTGATGGGAGCATGCCTAGGGCTGCTGGACCCCGACTGTCAAAGTTCACATGGGGTTCGCATGGCACAGAGCACCCCACCTAGTACCCATGTTGAAGACTTCCCGCAGGACCTTTGAATAAACGGGCTGTTTATTTTACACGCTTCTTTTGTTCGTCACTATGGCTAGTTTGACTAGGCACTTTGAGAGGAGGCTAAGACGTCCTGGAACTCTTGCACTTTGTAGGCGTGCTCTGGTTTCTAAGTAAAATGCCTTGTGGAAGCTTCAGCATCCACATACCCCTAAGGAGAAAAACAAACAAATGCACCCGACCGCTCCACCCCTATTCCCTAAGACTGGCCATCCTGTTCTATCAGAAAATGGTGAGGTTTGGAAATTGCAAGTTGACTCCGGGAGCTCTTGTCAGGGTCAGGGTGTGTCTAAATACGAACGGATGTTTGCTTCTGATATGAACGTTTTTCTTATACTTTTATTATAGAAGATGATGTGTCAAATGTACAAATAATGTGTGCCTGGTGCCAGAAAGTGGGAATCAAGCGCTATTCCCTGAGTATGGGAAGTGAGGTGAAAAGCTTCTGCAGCGAGAAATGCTTTGCCGCCTGCCGGAGAGCCTACTTCAAAAGAAACAAGGTAAGCCACCTTAGTGAGGCCGCTGGCCACCTCGTGCGCATGCGCCTCCTAGCCCTAGCCGGACACACTGTGGCCCTGCCCCCTGCGTGTTTTGATTTTTGTTTTGTCCGTTTCTTCCTGTCATGCTTAACTTTTTGTAATAAGAAACCCCAGCCTAACGTAACTTGTCCATCAGTTTCTTGTGGCTTGGTGTTTGAGTTCTGAGAGGGTGAGTGGAATCCGAGGAAGACACCAAAGTCCCAGCCACTGTCCTAACCAGAGGTGGCTTAGTAAGAGGGTACAGTCCAGAGTCCACCAGAGAAAAAAATGAGAGGTTTCTCAGGAGAGGGAGACACTAGCTATATAGAGGCTTTAGTATACCCATACAGTGGGAATATAGCTGCTGCTTTTCCAAAACCTGCTTCCCAGAGTCTAGTCAAGACAAAAATTGTCAAACCTCCCTTGACACACTGTGTTAAAGTTGATTGAGCTTGACAAGAGGGACAGAGATGAACAGCTCATGTTTGAGAGTGTATAAACACAGGAAGAGCCGTAGTTACAGTTCCCACTTGGCTTTCTTTAAAAAGACAGTTTAGGTTCGAAAATGGCCTTTTAGAATAGTATCAGCCACTCTTGATGGGGAACAGGATGTATGATGTCTTAACAAGCACATGTACACATTGCACACTAACATCCCAACCCTAAAGAACTGGAAAAGCCTTTTGCCACCGACTACCAGAGTCAGTTTCTAGGCCTTGATTATTTCTCATTGATCTGTAAAAACTTCCACGAACTCCCACACATTTTGCTCAGCATTTGCATTTCCCTTTCTGTACTACAAGATAAAAACCTGTCCATTCTTGCAGCAAGAACTTGCCTTTCCAAAGTCTAACATTTGCGATCTTGAATGCTAATCATGGCTCACTGCGTTGCAAGCACCGTTGCAGCGTGTAATTGCCTGCGAATCTGAGTCACATTCATTCTGCCCAAAAAACATAATGCCCGAAGAATTAGCCTGCAGAATTCAGCGAGTTGGAATTTTCGTAGCAGTCTGTAAGAATTAGGCTCATGAGCTTCATTGGAACTAGGAGGCAAGTAAGGAAATTGTCAGATGTCTTTGGGGATGGTCAGGAGTAGAGTTCGCTTTCCCTGGGGAGGGGATTGGAGTGAGCTCCAGGAGCCCAGGCTCGCTCTCTGAATGCTGAGCACTAGAATGACCCTGGGAGTGTGCCCAGTGATTTCTTCTTTAAAGCCTTACTTACCACAACAAAATACTTCGCATTCCTCCCTAGAATGTGGCTATAGAACAGGGCTTTTTGTCATTCTAGAATTCTGAGGGACTAAGGATCTGAATCTTGATGGATTGCTTCTAGAGAATAGGGCCAAGCAAGATGCATTTGTCACAACCCTGGTGACACAGTTAGACTTTGTAAAGTAAGCTATACTACTTTGTAGTAAGTCTTTGAAGAAAGGCATCTGATGCCATTGGAAAAGCAGTCTAGAGTCCTATGTTATACAGTATATGTGTGTGTGTATATACAAATATGCATACACACATATGTGTACATACATACATACATATTCATATATGTGTATACATATATGCTTTTAAAATATCTTGATAAAGTTTAAGATCAAAATGAATGTAAGCTTCCATAGCATACATATTTGAAAGATGAATAATGGGAACCAGGGTTAGATTTAGTATTTGGAATTTATAGAAGGCAAAATCGGTGCTGAAGGGAGGCCTGCTATGAGGAGCTTTCCATGAGGAGCTACTGGGATGGGTGCCCAGCATCTTGCTGTGGTTTGACTTGGTCAGTGCCTTTGCCTGCTGGTCTCTCTGGCCCCTTAGTGCACATACTACCTGTCTTCTTTCCTGTTTATGTATCCCAAACCCCTGCCTGTTCAGCTTTTCCAAATAGAGAAATAAGCGTGCGACCTTACCTGCTGGGTTCTTTTATCCCCGAGTGCTACCTCTGAAACAGTCTCCTATTGTATTACTATAAACATGTACAGCTGCTGCCTTGCTGTTAGCTGATAGGATTTTGTGGTCATTTCGTTTGGGGATTAGGTTTCCTAATGGCTCATATTAGATCCCAGCCCTGCATCCGGCCATCTCTGAGAACTGCTGTTATAAGCCTCAGTGTGTTCCCCACTGCAGGCGGTGGCAGATAGACAGCTATATCTCTTCTTGTATCGTCTAATAAAGTCCTTAGTCTTCATTGTCAGAATTGTGACATCATTGAAAGAGGAAGAAATCCTTCCCATGTCTACATAACAACAGTGTTTCTAAATACCGAGAAGGACGTGGAAAACAGTAAATAGTGAATATACAGGTTAGAGTTTTGTCTTAGGTGTAGAGTAGACATTTAAATGTAAAATTAATGTAAAATTTAAAAAAATGTAAAATTAACTATGCTGTAAATTATGCTTTATAATGCCAGCCCATTTCTTGCTGGATAGCATGCTGGGATCTAAAAATGGCTTCCAAGTTGAACCCAAATTGCATGCATAACTTTACAAAGGAAAACTCTCATAGACAAGGTAGGTAATTAGGAACGGTATTCAGCCGACCCCTGCTTTGTGTCTGAGCAACACCTGCATTTGTGAATGTAAATTGGACAGCTGTGCCGTGGGTCCCTGTGCGCGCCTCGTCACAAACGCTTGCATATACAGGCAGCATGGCGTTGTTGCTGCTTAAAAAAAAAAAGAAAGAAAAAAGGATAAAAATAGCCCAACACTCACTCAAAATGAAGGCCCATGAAAATGAGTTCTTTAAATTTCGTTTGCTTCTCCAGTCCTTCGTTTTCTTTGGGACTCAGTCAGTTGGAGGGGGAAAAAAACCCGTCATATTCACCTCTCATAAAGCTTGGCCCTTTAAAGTCAGGTGAGCTAGGGGCAAGGCGAGTTAACCTGTTATGGTATATTTTAAATTGAACTTAAATTTTGTGTAGAAGTTATTTGGGTTGCTGCAAGCGTGCATTTTGCAAGCTGCTCCTACTAACAGCCTTTGAGAGGCCCGCGAGTCACAGCTGTCTTCTCTCAAGCAGCTCCAAGTTTACACATTGCAGGATGTTGGCTCTGAGATGTGTGCGGCGCTAATTCATAAGGTAGCTTATAAAATCCCAATTTCTACAAGGCTCCACTGCTGATGCAAAGACTTTTAAGCCAGTGTGAGAGGGTTATGGAGACTACAGGCATTGGGTGAACGAGGGCACCTCAATCCCATTATTTGAGACAGGGACAACTTTTCTTCCCGCCACTTTATTAAAAATAGATTTTTTATACAGTGTATCCTGATTGCAGTTTCCCCTCCCTCTATTCCTTCCAGTTTCTTCCCCCTTCCACTCCCATCCAGGTCCACTGCCTTTTCGTCTCTTATTAGAAAAGACAGGCTTCTGAGAGACAACTAAACATAACAAAATAAATGTAATAAGATAAAACAAAAACCATACATTGAAGTTGGACAAGGCAACCCAACAGAAGGAAAAGAGCCCCTCCCTCCCCCGCCAGGCACAAGAATCAGAGACTCATTCATTCATACACTCAGGAATCCCATAGAAATACTAACCTCAAAACTGTAATACATATGCAGAGGACCTAGTCCGGAGCCCTGTAGGCCTGTATATCTGCTGCCATCTCTGGGCGTTCATATGAGCTTTGCTCTGTTGATTTGAGGGTCTCGTTCTCCCAGTGTCCTCCATTCCCTCAGGCTCATACACCTTTTCTGCCTCCTCTTTCATGGGGTTCAAAACAGGGACAACTTTTTAGAGGGCTAATAACTCACTGTTTTCCAATCCCCTTTTTGAGGCCACAGTGGAATAGGACATGAGAACATTTTTATCTTGAAGATTCACAAGAAGTTGGGAGGTTGCAAAACATCCTTACTGTTTTTTGCAAGAGATGCAGTAACATTGAGTTTGACCTTTTTTTGATTTTACTTTTGGTTTGTTTTATGTTTATTGTATGTGTATGGATGTTTTGCTTGCATGTATCTGTCTCAGATCTGGAGTTACAGACAGTTGTGAGCTGCCATGTGCATGCTGGGAATTGAACCTGTTCTCTGGATAAACAGCCAGTGCTCTTAACCACTGAGCCAACTCTCCAGCCTGAGCTCAACCTTTTAATATCAATTTTGCTTTATAAAATAGCAGAGTGCTTAAAATACTCTTTTTATTATCCCTCTAAAAAAGAATAGTAACAAGACTGCAAATAGTAGTCTTTTCCATTTAGAATTTATTTAATATTCTTTCCTTTTTCATGGGAAATAAATATCCTGTTGTCTAAGCTAGTATCTAGAAATAAATCAGGAAATCAAAACTGAAGAACAGCGGCCAATGTAAGCCATGTTCCTTGCTCAAACCTCAAGTTTGTAGTGTTCTGAATGGCAATGGAAATTTAATAAACACAAACTCCTAAGAGCATCGAAAGTTTTGCTTCTTCATTTTGCTTACCATGAATCGAGACAGGAATAGACAGATTCTTTTTCCGGATATGCTGCAGCTCCCAGTGGACCATAGAGACATGTAGCAGAGACCATAGACGCTAGAGATGGACATGTTTGCAAATGATGTCATTGTAGTTCGCTGACAACTGCCGTGAAAACAAACACTCTGTGGGGGTATTGTGCAATAAGTTTTTATTTTATTTTCATGCCATACCCCTTTATGCATCCTAGTCTTTTATTAGAGGTCTCATTTGGAGGGACCCATCAGGAAATAGCATCATCATTGTGTTATTTGTAGTTAGGTTTTATTTATACACATGGTGTTTGGGTTTGTTTTTAATTTTTGCTTGTTTAAAATTAAACCTGAGCATACACAAAAGAGTTCTTGGTTTCAGACTTAATTATAGAACCCAGTGCTGTAGACGAAATGTGTAACAATTGCTCTGCTAATCTACCGATTAACCTGTCCAATTTTTTTCCCTTTAAACACCTGCAAAATTTAATTTGTAAATGACTATCATTCACAAAGATTTGAGAAGGACATTAAGAAATTACTTGCAATTAATGTCCT